AATTAAAGCTCTTGAATAGCAGTATAACCTACCGGTTATATAAAATCGTCATAATTTTTCGTATTGAGAGTTTTGCTAAGTAAGCTCTTGATATACATTTGTATGTAAATATGGCGAAGCGGTGGTCACGGTTGCCACTTGCTAAAAAATAACCAACCCAAATCTTAAAAAAAAAAGCATAATTGAAAGAAAAATTACCAAATTTGTTATCCAGTTATCCACTTATCTATTACACACGGTGCAAGCGAAGATAGGTTGCATAAAAATGTCGACAAAATCTGAAAGCAGGGTTGTATTTGTTAATATCTTAAGGTTAAGAATCCGCTTAAATTGAAATCCTAGCTGCTCCTGTTTAAAAGATATCTACATTTTATATACTTCTGATAGGATATATTTGGAAGGCGTACTTCTCGATAATTAGAGCATATTTATACGAAAAGAAATACAAATCTGTTCCCCTTTTTTAACTCACTAAAACGGATCAAATCAATGTGAAACATTTTCATTTTTTCCTACCGAAAGAATAATTGATCGAGATTTATTGGGCGCTACCGGTATACAACTTAGGTAAAACACCACAATTACCTTTTTCTGTAGCGTGAACTTTCTCATTACAAACACTTTCAATATCGCAATATATGTATGTATGTATACAATATTGTATGCTATATAATACGGTAGTAATTTTTTATTAAAGGTTTGTTGCTACAAGCAAGTAGCGCAGGCCAGTCGCACTGCGCTTGTGCAAGAAATAAAAATGCTCTAACTTAGGCCAACGGTACTCCGCATAATAAGTAAATAAATTCAAAGCTTGTATGAGATTTATTTTGGTATTTATGTACTCTTCTGTCAGGAAATAATGACTATTGTACATCCAGAACACAAATGCGATCATAAAGAAAATCGCATGAAAGTATGCGCTTTTTGTGTAGGGCTGCCAGACGTCCCGGTTTTCCCGGACATGTCCCGGTTTTAGACTATTTGTCCCGGTGTCCCGGTCCAACCTTAAAATGTCCCGGGTTTCATTTAAGTGTCCCGGTTTTCGATTTGATTGCACAAATTTTGCTTAAAAATGACTACGCTGAGAGAAAAAGGCGATGTAATATTAAGAAAAATTTTATGAATTTACTGGGGGAAATAACGCATAGTAAACATGAATATGTTTTATTTGATTATCGTTTTGAAATGTTCGTACTTAAAAACAATACTTTCATACCACGCACACGTGGTGTTGAATCAAACTGAACATTTGAGTGCACATTTACATGTCTGGCTGTAGCTGGGTGCACGAAGATGCTTGCAACAATTTGCTAATTTCCAGAGCGTCAGGGTTCAAATCCCATTACAGACAGCATGGAATTTAAATAAATTTTTTTTAACTTAATTATGAAAAAGCACCCGTTAAGTGCAAAGCGCTTCATTTTAATATTGGCGTATTTCAATTGAATATTTCTATACTAAATACTAAAATTTGTATACTTAAATTATTACGAGTTGGGTTGGTGCTCTTTCATATGCGATTTTTTTTTTAAATGTAGCACGTTTTGCATAAGCAATAGTTGATGATTAATATAAGTATGTACCTAAATACGTTAAAATGACATGCACAGAGTTTTACAATTATAGCAAAAACCAGAAGTTTTGAAACAAGCTCACAGCAACGAAACAAATGACTGATATTTTAATGTTACCTTGTATTTGTTTTTTTTTTTTTCGTGAACTAGATTACTTATAAGTACCGTGCCGTACAAAATTATTGGCTCGGAGACACTTTCATCTGATCACAATTTCTAATCAGATCTTTTAGAAAAATGTTTAAAATGTAGCTTTTGAGCCAATTAGTAAAGTGCAAGTCTGAAGTTACCAGAAAGTTTCGTTGATTTTTTGCAATTATTTATTTTTTGATTACAGTGCCTTCCACATACAAAAAAATGTCGAACATAGTTTGTATGGAAGAAACTCTCAGTAAAAACAATACCAAATATATTGCCTCGTTCAAAGCCATGAGCAAAATCGTGAATACATGGTTTTCCGCAAAACAAGCGGATCTTAGTAATTTTGATAAAAATCTTAACGAACTCCGCACAGCTTTGAAAAGTACTGGAATTTCTCAAACTGTCAAAATCCATTTTATCCTTAAACATTTAAAGCAATCTATTTCATTCTTGAATAACGATGGTTTAGGATTATGGTCCGAGCAGGCCGGGAGGTCAGTTCATAGGGAATTCATTAAATTCTGGGATAGATTCAAAATAAGTATGATTGATAAACCAACTTTTGTGAGTCGCCTGAAGAAAACTGTAATGACATTTTCATTCCAGCATATATAAAAACTTAACTAAATAATAAAATATTTAAATACTAAAATGCGTGACTATATTATATGGTAAGCCAACAAAAAAAATAAAAGGAAACAAAAAACAAATATAAAAAAATAAAGCAAGAAAAAAATATAAAAAAATAAAACCAAAAAAAGAACAAAGAGGTGCAAAGTAAGTTGCCTCTACGTGGTGCGCCTTGGAAACGATTGAAACCGGCTAAAAACTTACATAAACTTATATTTTCACATAATATATATACACACATTTACTCACACATACATTGTTGAATATTTAATTCACAAGGATGTTTTTCTCTTTCGCAAAAGTCGGTCCTATCATAACTATGTAAAATGTGGATATCTTTAAAACAGGAGCAGCTAGGATTTCAATTCAAAGGGATTCTTAACCTAAAAATATCAACAAATACAACCCTGCTTTCAGTTTTTGTCGACATTTTTATGCAACCTATCTTTGCTTCCTGCCCACCGTGTACAAAAAGCAAAACTTACTAAAAAAAAACAAAATTCAACACTTTTACTCATCTTGAAGCCATCTTTTTAATGAAAATTTTGTGGAAAAACAATATTAATTTACATTTTGGTAGAAGTTATAGCTGACGTTTCGGAAAACAAAAATTATTGAAATACTTGATCGTTGAATGACTATTTACTAAAACACGTTACATAAAAAATAGGAATTGAAAAATTCGTTTATTCGTTTTTGGCATTCAGTAATACTTTTTGTAAAGAAAAAAGAAAAAATTTGCTAATTTCTTATTAACAGAAACAACCAAACCAGAGAAAAAAAACTACCAAACAACCAAATAAAAAAAAATAAAAGAAAAACAACGAAGTTTGGTTGAAAGCAACCAACAGTGGCAACCGTGACGGTGGTTCATTTTAGCAGCAAATATCCCTATTTCCAAGTTCACCCTGCCAGCCAAAAGTGGTGCAAAATCTGGTGAAACCGCGGGTTTCGGTCACTTCAAAACTGGTGAAATTTGTATGGGCGGTGTGCAGATTGTCACCACTTTCCCCCTGTACGTGTGAGCCTTGCATCACTGTTGCACTCATTCAGATACTTCGTAAGGAAAACGTCTAGCATTGCCCCCTTCTGCCGGCTCAGGATTGCATTCTCTTCACAGCGAATTCAAAATAACCTTAGAAACTTTAAAAAAAAAATCCTAAAATATTTTGATTTTTATTTTGCAAAATTTATTTTCAAAATGCATAATATACATACTTAATAACCAATATTATGAATAAAACTTGAAATTAACATTAATAAATATATTTTTAGATACATACATATGCGCTGGCTTAATTTCTTATTATTAGTATTACTCATTTGCACTTAGATGTTTAAAAAGTTGGAAAATTTCTATAAGAAAGTTAAGCGATTTTAATAATATTATAATAAAAAGAAAGGTAATCGATTTATCTTTCTTTTGATATATATTAAAAGTTGCAAATCATTTATAATGGTTCACAAAAATTCAGTTTCATTACAACTTTGCAAAATTTTACCACTTTTCCACTGCTTATATATAGCTGTTTACAAAAGTTGCAAAGTTTTTATGAAAACGTAAAGCAATTTTAACAGTGTTATAATCAAAAGAAAGGTAATCGGGTTACCTTTCTTTTGATATATATTAACAGTTGCAAATAATTTATGGTGGTTCAGAAAAATTAAGTTTTCTTACAACTTTGCAAAGTTTGACAAGTTGGACCTGCACTTTGAAGGTGCTCCTGGCGTTGAAAGTGCTGAGGGCGGAAGGTACTCATGGTGCTCCTGGTGATGAAGGAGCTGAGGGTAGAGGGTACTGGTGGTGCTCCTGGCGATGAAGAAGCTGAGGGCAGAAGGTTCTAATGGTGCTCCTGGCGATGAAGATGCAAGCGTTGAAGGTGCTGATAGTGAATCTGTAAACAAGCAAAAATATCAATTAAAATTTATAAACATATAAAAAGTCTCAATACATACCTTAAGAATGTGACTAAGTCGTTGCTGTTTTGCAATCTAAAAGAATAAATTACAAAAACAAATTTACGTAAAAATTGTATAAAACTCTTGAAAATCAATATTTTTCAATCGTAAAACTGTGGTTCTCTTCAGGAGACTTAAAATATAAATATCCAATTGTTTATTTAACCATTTTTTTATGACTAAAGATTTTTTATTGGTCCCCCCATTGCATTTTCTAGAACCTATAAGATATAGTTACCATGAAAAAATTGTTAAAGGAGCAATTGGGTATTATTACCGGGAATCTCCTGAAGATAAGCAAAGTTTTCCCATCGAAAAATATTGCTTTTCCAGAATTCTACACTATTTCTACGAAACGTTGTTTTTCCCCCATATAAAATACATTGAAAATTTTGAGCGCTTTTAGCACTCCCTAAATTTTTTTTATTTCAAAATAAAAAAATAGGGGTATATTTTTTTTTGGTATAGAATAATCCTAGGGGCTGGCGGCCTTAAAAATGCGACCTTATTTTT